GCCTTCTGTGTTTTTCTGCTTTCTTGGACACATGCTGTATATATTCCTGAAAATGCATCTCTTCAGCCTGGTGTGGTGGTGCACACCTGCACCCTTAGCACTTGGGAGGCTGAGACAGGAGGAGCACTGTGCATTTGAGACCAGCCTGGGCTACACAGTGAGACGTTGTCTCAAAACAAAACAAAAATGCGTCTCTCTGTCCTTGGTAACTTCTTTTTAAAATTCATTTTGTCTTCTTTTAAGCTGCATATTAAATTAAATCTCATCACAAAATGTCAGAAGGTAGAAAGCAGTGAGTAGGTGCAACCCGGGAAGAGGCATGGCTGTGACAGTTAACTGATCTATGTCCACACCCAACTAAAGGGCTCAGCCTGTCCTGGGTGTGGCAGACCCGCCCTGAGGGGGATTGTGATCAGGATAATATAAAAGGGAAGCAAAGGAAAGCTCAATTTTCCCCTGGCTTCCATCTTAGCTCCTTCCACCTCCTGATACAGACCCCAGTGGGACACTGTGTGGACCTCCAGGCTTTTGCGTGGACCCTTCGGATCTTCAGCACAGACAGTCCTTGTGCGCTCTTCCACCCGACTCTGGGTGGCCAGTGTAAGCCAATCTTATACATTGTATTTGTACGTCTTGTATTAATGCTCTTTCTCTAGTAGGCACTGAGTGATACAAGGCCCGAGCTGGGTGCTCAGTCTCTTACTGTGCTCTGTGCAGCTCCCTGCGTGTGGGCTCCCAGACTTCGAGCTATGAGCCAGACTGTCTTCCGATAAATGACTTGGCCTGCATAGAGACAAAGTGGACCAAGACGCCAGGTTTGATGGCTGCTGTTGGTATCACCATTTCCCCATCCCTTCAGTCTATAGCTTTGGTGCCTGTGCCTGGGGACAGGAGAAAGCCCAATGGGTTGTTTGTTTGTTTTGTTTTGGTACGGGGAATCAAACTCAGGACCTTGTACTTTCCCGGCAGGCTCGGCACCACTGAGCTAAATCCCCGGCTGTTTTTGATGTTTTGAGACAGGATCTTAACTGTGTAGCCCAGGCTGCCCTCAAACTGGGCAATCCTGCTGCTTCAGCCCTCCCCAGTGCTGGGATTACAGGCATGTGCCACCACACCTGGCTCAATTCGGGTGTTTGTTTGTTTTGGTACGGGCATCGAACTCAGTCCTTGTGCTTGAATTTGGGTATGTTTTAAAATCTAGTCTGACGTTGTCTTTCCCATTGTTCAATTTACATTTAATGTCATATTTGATACATGGATGGGTTTCCATCTACTGTTTTCTATCTTTTTATTCTTGTTTTTGTTGTTTTGTCATGGTCACGGGAGCATTTGGGTAAAGTTGGTCATGTCGAGTTTTGTGTTTTATTTTGTGTTTTGGTACCAGGGATTGAACTCAGGACCTTTCACTTGTGAGGCAGGTGGCGCTAAATCCCTGGCCCGGCCGTGTTAAGTTTTGTTGGGGATGGCCACAGCTGCTATGGGTGTGGGTAATGGAAGGCACAAGAGTTTTCAGGGTAAAATGTGTTTGCAGAGGGAGAGTATATTGATGGACTTTGGTGTCTCCAACCATGGCGATCTGTGTACTACAGTGTATATTTGCAAATACTGAGAATGCATTGGGTCCAAAAGTTGCTGACCATGGGTCTAATTTAGAGTCTTTACGGGAATTTTTTTCATTGATTGTGTCCTGGGCCGTCAACGCCTTCGGTAGAACTAACTGAAAGTTCAGTACTCATCACAGGGAGGGCTTCTCAGCAGCCAGCCCTCCTCTGCAGCTTCCGAGAGCCCACAAGTACAGAACCTGTCACAACACAAGATGTTCTGCCACCCAGGAAATCCCTAGATTCAGGTCTTTATCGGGAACTGCGTGAAAGACCAAGTTTAGAACAAAAGCGGGGGGGTTCTTCCCTGCAAAGGTTTTAGGGGCTTTGTGTCTGGAACTGCGGGCATGGCATGATGCTGCTGCCTTCTGCCTGCCATGCACTGTTTCTCTGTGACGCCCCTCTGATGTGCTACCCTGCCTTGGAGCCAGCCAATTTTGGACTGAAACCTTTACAAGCTGTGAGGTACAATAAACCTCTCCTCCTTTAACTCCAGATGTTGGATATTTTGTTTCAGCAACGAGAAAAGACCAAGGTAACTAAGTCCCAGTGACACCACACTGACCTTATTTTCAGTGTATACTGACCTTATTTTCAGGAATCTTAGCTTCCTTACCTTATATTTGTCAAAATGAGTGTAACTTTTTGTTGATGTAGTTACTTCCCACATTTTTAAGATAAACACTTTGACCATGATATATTATTAATATTGGTGGTGCCAAGGATCAAACCCAAGCCCTCAAATCTTTTGTTTTTTGTTTGTTTGTTTTGGTTTTTTGAGACAGGGTCTCAGTATGTAGTTGAGACTGACCTGGAACTCACTATGTAGCCCAGGCTGGTCTCAAACTCAGCGATCCTCCTGCCTCAGCCTCCGGAGTGCTGGGATTGCAGGTGTGTACCACCATGCCTGCCTCAAATCTTTTTCTAACATTGTTTAATGCTCACCAGGGATGTAGCTCAGTGGTTCCGCTGCCTGCCTGGCAAGTGCAAGGTCCCAAGTTCAGTCCCCAGTTTATAATTGTTTAATGCTGAAAGTTGTCTTTATTTTTATTCCGCTTATTTTTCTTTTCTCTTTGAGACAAAGTCTTAGAATGTATTTCATCCTGGCTTGAACTCACTCTGTAGCCCAGGCTGTCCTCAGACTCACAGTGATCCTCCTGCCTTTGCCTCCCGAGTGGTGGGATTACAGGCATGCATCTCGTTGAAAGTTACAGTACATCATTTGGAAGGGCATTGTTGCCAGTCCTCATAGTGCACATGTGAAATCCCAGCATTTGGGAGGCTGAACCAGGAGAATCTCATTGGGTTTGAGGCCACTGTGGGCTACATTGTAAGGTCAAGGCCTACCGGACTCACATGGCGAGACCCTGCCTCAAAAAATAAAAACAAATAGAAGTGCATTAGTTATTCTATTATTTTTCAGTTTTCTAGTTTCTTCCTCTCCAATCTCTAGATTAATCCCTGTGTTGATCATTATGAATTATTTTGTTTTGTTTTTGTTTTTGTTTTTTGAGACAGGGTCTTACTGTGTAGTTGAGACTGACCTGGAACTCACTATGTAGCCCAGGCTGGTCTTGAACTCACAGCGATCCTCCTGCCTCAGCCTCAAGTGCTGGGGTTTACAGGCATGCACCACCACGCCTGGCATGAATTATTTTAATCCTTTAGAATTTGAGGCTTTTTGTGACCTGGGTCAATATTGGTCAGAATTCTCTACGCACTTGGAAAGAATTCTGTTTTGCAGGTGTTGGGTATACTAGTGGTACTTTAGTGTTTAACTTTTATTCTGTGATTTTTTTTTTTTAGTGTGGCCCCCATCATTTTGTAACGATGAACTCAGATGAGTCGCTGGCTCTCAGCTGTGAAGAGCATCGACTCCAGAATGACTTGTTGGAATGAGGAGAAAGATTAATAGGAAGGCGGGAAGCAGACCAAGGAGGTTGCAGGCTGCTGCTGTGGAGATCTCCTTGCAGGATTCTACCACAGGGGTTATGGGGAGTTGGGAGTTGGGAGGCCCATCTGATTTGATAGTGGTTCCCAGGTGCCTTGCTCTTCCGACACAGGGGCTACTGGCATCTTGCCGGTCATTGGATAGTCTGGGAAATCAAAAGATAACTTTCTGATTAAAAAGTCTTGTGGCTCATATCTTCTTTTCTTTCCCCAGAATAGTTGACTTGAAGTTAATTACTAGGCTAGGGAGGGAAGGTTCCTTTCCCCGAGAATAAGGGAGGTAGTGAAAGGCTTCCCGCACCCCCCGGACTAGGACACAGTGACACCCGTGGGGCAGGGTTGCTGGCATTCTCTGGGGACCAGTCTGTGACTGGCAGGTGCCTTTCCTCGGGCGGTCTTCACCAGTGCCAGTGGGGGATTGACGTGGAGGGAGCATTTGGTGCACAGCTAACTAAATTTGTGATTTCTTTTTTTTTCTTTTTTAAGCTAGCTAAGTGTACATGAAATTAGAGAATTTGTTTACTTAGGGGCCCCTGAGTAACAATTTTACTGTGAAAAGTGTTTTTAATACTTCCTGCTCATGGGTTTTTCCATTTTTTGCTGTTTGTGAGAATGTAAATCATGTCAACCTATTCTGACAGTTTGTCACTTTTTATCAAAGCTTTGTATTTTGGCTTTATATGTAGCACTTTCTGGAAACAGCACCAAATAATAGCGTATACAAAAGGCTGTTGTGTACTGTAAGATAATTTACAAGAGCAAGGTTGGTTAAACACTCTCTGAGCTGGGTGTGGTGGTGACAGTTTATTAGAAGACCTCGGAGAGCTGGTAGAACCCGTGACTGAGACCTACTCTTTTATCAAGGGTACCACCCAGGCACAGCCAGATGGAGGAGAAAGATAGGACAAGGCTTGGGGTTGGGTGGGCACTTCCATGCCTCTCAGAAAGTATCCTCCTTGGCTGCTTCAGGCGAGTTCTCCAGCCCTGAGACTCATTGAATTACATTGTTCGGGGACTGGCACAGTGGCACACACCTGCAATTCCATCTACTCAGGAGATGAGGCAGGAGGATCCTGAGTTCGAGGCCCAAGCTGATCCTCCTGCCTCTGCTTCCTAAGAAGCTGTGATCACAAGCTCACATGTTTAGTTTTGCTTTTGAGACAAGGTCTTGCTATATATGTAGTTTAGGCTGACCTTGAATTCACCTACTTAGTCCAGGCTCCTACAAGCTTGCAGTGACCTTCCAGTGGCCATTCCTGGCCCACATTTTATTTGTGAAATGGTGATATCCATAGACATGTTCTGAGAAGATGAAGTAGCCTTATGTATTCCCGAGGAAGTGGATAGTTTTTGTAGTGTGAGTTTTTCAGTAATTATGACAGCTACTAATTCTTTCAGGAATTTTATGTGTGCAAAACAACCTGTTCATAAGAGATTTTTATTTTACAGATTCCTGACATTCAAAACAATAAGACTTTGGCTACGCTGCCTCTATATCAAATCAACTATGAGTTGGAATACACAACCACAGAGGGCTTCATTGCCACCTCAGTATCGTAAAATCCAGCCTGCTTTTCCACCACAGTATGCAGCAAACCAACTTTCTACATCTCAGAGTTCTTTCAGTTGTCTTTCGAGTAACCAAGAAGCCTGCATGTATCTCAGTAATTCAAATACAGTGTCACAGCCACTGCCGAATGTCAGAAATTACAACATTCCTCTTCAAATCCCTGCTTCTAATTTGCCAAACAGGTCAGTGGTGGCCTCCCAGACTATAGAAAGAACAGTATATGCAAATGCTAAAGGACCCATGAAGGCAAATCAGAATTTGCAGGTGCCTTCAGGAGTTACCCAAAACCTGAGGTGGAAGTCATTGATGATGAATTCCACACCTTCTCATATGGAGGCAACGACGTCTCGTCACAGTCACTTTGGAACTAATCCAGCTAATTCGCATGCACTGCAGAGTCAACGTGTAGCACCAGACACCTACTCTGTGCAATTACAGGTGATGCAGGATTCTCCAAGAGTTCCTGTAGCTTTACAGGGAAGTCAAGGATCGAACCAGTCATTATCAAATCAACAGGTTGATTGGGCCCAACAGCGTGCATCTGATGAACTCCCTTACCCAGATCACAGACCACTTCCAAAGCAACACTTTTACTCAGCGCAAAGCTTTCTGCAAGATCCCAGTGTTCACAATAAAATCCTTATGTCATCAGCACCGTCACAGATCACACATAATCAGCTCCCAGCTTCTGTCCAGTCAAACCAGTCTGCGGCGATATTGTATCAATACACACTACAAGCCAGCACGAAACCCCCTCCTCCTCCTCCTTACGACTGCAGATATGGAAACCAGCCCTTGCAAGGTGCGCAACATGTCACCAAACACTTGTCTGTGGACGTTCTTCAGGGTCCACAGATACATTCTTCTGAAGTAAAGAAAGACTTCTTCCCAGGTTTTCAGCCACAGTGGCAAAGCACTAATGAGAATGTCGTACCATTTGGAAATTCATGTGATGTAAAAACAGATGCTAGTGTCAAACAGCCTTTTATGGAGCCAGCTAGATCTGTGGATGGTGTTCAGACTCTTTCTCAAAATAATCAAGAGAAAAAAATGGATTCTTATAATCCACCTTCAAATCAAGGGACGGACCCAGCTGTTACAAAAGAAAAGCTAGCAAGAGATATTAAATCATTAATGGAAATTAAAAAGAAGTTTTCAGAACTTGCAAGGAAAATTAAAATTAATAAAGATCTCTTGATGGCAGCAGGTTGTAAACCAAATAATAGTTTGTCCAGTGAGCCAGCTCAGCATCCTGAATTCTCAAAGGAAATACCTGCCAAAGGTCACTGTCCTGCGGAATTGGTAAAAACATGTCTTAATCTTTGGAAAAATCAACCCTCAAAAGTGACAGAAGAAAAACCTTCAAAATCTGGTGAGGAAAAACATGCTAATGAGTCGACACACATATCGGCTGGAATTTCAAAGCCTTTGGAATTTCCCATCCAGAATCCTTGTTCAGCAGAGAGAAATCCTCAGAACAAAATGGAAAATGCATTGCAGGAAGCAGCTTTGTCCATGCTAGTGCAGAATTATGAGCCTTCCTGTGCAAATGTAACAAAGGGAACAGAACTCCAGATCGCTGTAGTGTCGCCTTTAATTCTTTCAAATGTCATCAAAGAAATAACACCTGAAGCTCTACCTGAAACCATGTATCCTGTTATTAAAGAAGGCAGCATTTGTAGCTTACAAAATCAGCTGGCAGAAAATGCAGCGGTAACTGCTGCTTTGAAAGTGGATGTTAGCAAGCCAGTGATGGGTTCTATGACGTCAGCCAGGGTTTTTCCTCTAATTCAGAAGGAAAAGCAAAATGATACAAATAATGGTGATTCACAAAACACACCCGGTATCCATAAAGAACAGTGTTGTCAGCTAAATGGTCCACAACCCTTGTCTAAACCAAAGGACAGAATTCTTGTGGCTGGTGATTTATTACAAATAGAAGATATTTGCTCTCTTGTTGAAGGGGATGTATCTTACAATTCCAAGATCGCAGAGATGTTTAACTCCTCTCTGGAAAATGTTGAGCCACAGAAACTTTCTCTACCCAATGAACAAGCAATTAGTACCGGACACCAAGAAGAACAAGTAGGACAAGCCACTGAAAGTAAAGACTTGGGTCTTCAGAATAATGAATATACAAGGTGCCCAGACTTCCCATGTGAAATAGCTCCTGTGAGGGAAGAACCACCGAAGCTTGTGGGATCATCGTCTGAGCCTGTTGAACCAGGAATTCTAGAGGAGAGCGATTTGGGGAAAACCACTAAAAATGAGGGCATAGCCAAGAACTCTCATTACTCACCACCTGCTGTTCTTCAGCAGGATTTTAATTCTGGGGACATCAACACTTCTGGAGATGACGCTGTCCAAGGCCCTGCAGCAAGTGAGCTTCATGATGATAATACATCTGTCTTATACATACATGACCAGCTGTCGGAACTTTTAAAGGAGTTCCCTTACGGCATTGAAGGTCTGAATGAATGTAAGAGTTTTGCGAGCCAAAAGAAGTTGGAACAGATCCCAGAAGATCAGACTGGTGGTAAAATCAGTTGTGACCCTAAGGAACCTACAGACCAAATAAAAATTACAATTCTAAGCTCAGAACAAATGAAAGAATTATTTCCTGAACAGGATGAATCCAGTGGAGACAGACTGCCACCCCCTAAGTTGGACAAGTTGGCAGAAACTCAGAAGAAAAAGCATGTTGCAGAAGTTGGGAGCCAGTGTGACCCACGAACTCAGGAGGAAGGAGAAAGTCCAGATTCTGTAGTGGACACAGACAACATCCATTGCTGTGCGTTGGGCTGGCTCGCAATGATTTATGAAGGGGTCCCCAAGTGTCGGTGTAATGCTGTGGAGGGGAAGAGGGAGGAGCAGCTGGTTCCAGTGGAAAGCAGCAGTTGTAAACAAAGACCTGAGCAAGGGCCACAGACCTCAGGTGCAGATCTCACTATTGTTAAACTTGATAGTGTTTCCAATAATCCAAAGACGCCTGTGACTGATGAGAAAACACATTTGCCTAAAATACATGGCAACAACACAAAAGATTCATCTAAAACTAGGAAGGATGATACGAAAAGGAGGAGACAGGAGCTACCTGGTGAGGTTCCACCTAAATGGAAAAGCAGTGATAAAAAAGACACATCCAAAATGAAACAGGGAGCATCAGCGAATATGGGACAAGAATTAACTGGCCAGTTTTCATCTAAACGTAATGAACCAGACCCCTTGCAAAGGAATAAGAAACTAAAACTAAAATTTCATGAGGTAAAATTCCAGTCTAGTGATAAAATAACATTTTCTGACCCAGTTTCTCAGGAGGGTCCAGAGAAGAAATGCACACCACAGAACTCATGCCAATTAAATCCCAAAACAGGTCTTCTCCCAAATAAAGGTCTGAAAAGGGAGAATAACTCTTTTGTACAGTCTTCATCTCAAGAAAAGAAAAAATTGAAATTCAAAGAAAGCCCCCAAGAAAGACATTTGGAGAAAAGAAAGATAGACCAAGGGGAAAGACTAGATTTGGAGATAAAAAAGAAGAAATGTAGTGAACAAGAACAGAGTAAAAATGCAGGAGTTACAATTAAATTATGTAATATTTTGCCAAACCCAAATGAGAAAGCCATTACTAAAGAAAATTTGACATCAAAAGCAAAGTCCTTGGAAGTCAATGACGCAAGGGGCACAGCCACTGTTAAGGAAAAGACAGCATCGCAGACGAAGTCCACAGACTCCAAAGACATAAATGAAACAACTAGTCTTAAAGATAAGGCAGCATCACTGGCAAAATCCTCAGGAACCAAGGATGGTTCATGTAAGGTTAAAAAAGTGATCACACTGCAGGAGTATTTTCAGAGGAAGAAGCAAAAAGAAATCACTAAAACAGCCAAGAAAACCTGCTTGGAAAATGTCTTGGGCAATTCTGCTCCCTCGGGCTCCGTTCAACTTAGTGCACAAGCAGAGAGTTGCAGAAAATCAAATGGTAAAGGTGACAGCGGCATAGAGACCTTGAAAGACGCCTCCAAGGTCAATACTAACCCTGGTAAAAACCTTAAAGCCCACCCTCCTGAGGAGTCTAAGGCATGCAACCTTTCGAGGTCTGTTGAAGGGAGAGCCGATGCGAAGCAGCTGATTAAAACCAAATTAGATAAAACACTAAGCAGCGTAAGCAGTGAAGTCTCTTCCCAAGGGAAGGAACAAAGGAAGTCATACCTGAACCGCCTGAGCTTCAGGTGCACAGAACGCGAGAGCATCTGTCTCACCACACTCAGCAGCTCCCTGGCAAAGCTTGGGAAAGACAAGAAGAGTCAGGAACAAAAGCCCAAGGCCTCTCTCCCAGGGAAAGACTCCACTGTGAAACCAGGCATGCTGGAGTTTAAATTATGCCCAGATGTAATGTTGAAGAACACAAACTCTGTCGAAGACAAGTATGATCTCAGGGCTCATCCTGAGGCACAGGCTGCCACACAAGGTCCAGTATGATTTCCTTGGTAGCGTGCATGACCTTGGAGCAGGGTGTCTAAGTTGACACAGGCTTACCTGCGTGCTATCTTGTTGTCTGGGAACTACATGGATCTCTTATGTAATACCTTACTATGTGTTTCTCTTATCAAATCAGTGTTTTACCGGGCAGTGTTTATTTTACGTTTATCACCCCTTATTGTAAATTATAGTCAGTAGTCATAACAAGAGTTCTATAAAGTTAGAAAAGTGCCAGGTGTGCATATGTTTTGTTTTGTCTTTTTCTGGTACCAGGGATCAAACTCAGGATCTTGTACTTGTTTTTTTTTGGTACCGGGGATCAAACTTGTGTCCTTGCGCTTTTGCAAGGCAGGCGGCGGATCTGTTAAGCTAAATCCCCAGCCCCAGGATCTTGTACTTGTGAGGCAAGTGGCAGCAACACTGAGCTAAATTCCTGGCCCTTTGCATATGTTCTAAAAGTCTTGATTTTTGTTAAGTTTTCCTTGGAACTTGTGAATTTCAGAGAAGCCTTGTAAATTTGAGGTTTTGTTCTAAATATTAGGAGATGAGCACTGGAGGGAAGAAGGAGATAATGCAAGATAGTTGTTTATGTTTAATGGTTATGGGCATTATAAATTTTTCAAGCATTTAAAACAAGTAATTTTTCTCAGCCCTTTTTATATATGTATATGGACATGGTGTATCTTAATGGCTTCCAAATTTATATTAGGCTAACATTCTTTTTCTTCATTGTGAAATAAATGAACAGCAATCTGAAAACGAATATTTAAATAGTTTCAGGAATAAAATGTTCAAGAAAAGACTGGATAAAATGCGTAACTGAGAAGAAAACAATGCAGGAAGCCAGCCCAGAAATAGGTAAAGTCATCTATTTAAATTTTGCAAGTGGTGCTGTGATTCTTATGTTATAAAGTGTGATTCTATCCTGTTTTCAGTCACTCAGTGTCTAGGAATAATATCTTCTCGTATCATTGTGAGGAAAATAATCCCTATCACATTGAGCTATGGAGTGGCGTTTGCATGTTTTTTCCGGTGTAGGACCAGACAGTAAATATTTTAGTTTGCCATGTCTTTGACCTGACTGCCCAGCACTAACACGGTACCAAGAAAAGGGCTGCAAAGCTGTGTGTGATGGTCCACACCTGTGATCCCAGCACTGGAGCCTGAGGCAGGATGGGCACAAGTTGGAGGCCAGCCTGAGTTACACAGGGAGACCTTGTCTCAAAGGGGGCCGTACATGTGTGAGTAAAGGTGTGGAACATGTGAGTGTTTTCTAATTAAATATCGCTTACCAAAATAGGTGGCAGGCTGGACTTGAGCACAGGCCACAAGCTTACCAAACTCCGTTCCATGATTTGGCTATTGATTTACTTGATCTTCACAACAAGGCTGGTGAGGGTTTTCTAGATGAGAGGCCGTATTCTTTAATTTAGGGCCGACTCTGTCCCCCCCTTCAGATTCCTTAGAGGTACATTGCTTAATTACAAGCTGACCCTCCTAGCCATTGTAGTTATTTAGCTGACCCTCCTAGCCATTGTAGTTATTTAGCTGGGGAGGGATTACTGTTTGAAAACTAACCAGCAAAACTAGAACTTTTAGCATCTGGCTTATTAGGGGCTGCATATACTTTGTATTGGAGATTTTGCACTGAGAACCAGGAGGTGAGGCTTCAGGAGTGTCTAAAAAGCATAAATTTGAAAAGGATAAGATACCTATAAAACTGGGCATGTTAGAAACTGCGTCAGATACACAGTGAAACACGAGTGTTAGCCCAAAGTGAAAAGGAAGTGGGTATGTGGGGAGATGGGGGCCGGAGAGGTATTGGAAATGAAGAGCAGGAATATTATTTCAGAGAAAGTGAGAGGTGCTCTTGCAACCTGAAGTTGAAATGCTTCCAGGGTACATAACCCTGGCGGAGGTAGGTTCCCAAGAGCTGCATGGAAGACAGGAACAGCCATGCTCAGGACGAGCATTAAATGTGCAGTGGGAGTGGGACAGGAGGAGGTGGGGTGAGGAGAGAGAAGGGAGGCAAGGCCGAGGAGTAGGAAGCTGCTGCTTGCAGTGCAGTGCAGTAAAGCCCCTTCCCATCTCTGCTGTTGGCAAACTTTTCCAGTCACATCCCCAGCCCTCCTGGCCTGCACCTTGTGAAGGTTGTGTAATTGTCAGACAGGACTGGAAGGTGAGGAGGAGCGGGGAGAGAGCCTCAGGGGCCACTTGGAGATTCACAGGGCAGAGCAGACAAGGATGCAGGAGGTGCTTATGTGGGGAACAGAGAGGGCAGGCTGTTCGGGCCACCTAGGAGAAAGCCGCAGGAATTCAAAGCAAAGGCAATAGGAAGAGAGGAAGAGGCCCATGGATTAAAAGCCCCTGAGTTAGGAGTGAAGGCCCTCCGGAGGCAGCTGTCCAATGCCTGGCAAGGCCAGGAGAACAAGACTCATCCACTCTTGGGGACTGTTTCAGATTTGTGCTCTGTTTCTCCTTTTTTCCCTCCCTCCCTATCTATCTTCTATGTATGAATGATCTCTGTCTCTTTCTACCTACCTAACAGATTTCTCATCAGGTTGCCCAGGCTGGGCTCCAACTTGCAATCCTCCTGTCAGCCTCCCAGAGTCAGTAAATTGCTCCTCTGGAGAGTTGCTCACAAGGTCACCTTCACACAAGGTAGGCAGATGGAGGGAGCGCTTACTGAGTGTAGGGAGAGGAGAGAGCACTCGGCCCCGTGAGAATGGGGATGGACACAGTGACTGCGGCCCCCAGAGGTGAGGCAGGCTGATAGTGGAGATCTTTCCAATTCTTTGCAACCCTGGTTGGTTAGACGTTTGTTTAACTCCTAGCTTTTTCTCCCAAAGATAGGTGGGTGTTTTCCTTCCTAGTTTTGACCATATTCCTTCTATTAGGCAACATTTCTGTTTCCTTAGGTGTTAATTCAAGACTGCTACAGAGAAGCGCCAGCGCAGATGGACGAGAAGTGCAGCAGAACCAGGTGAAAGACTCCCGGGCCATGTTCCAGACCTACAAGCAGCTGTACCTGCAGAAGCGTGGCAGGAGCTTGGGCAGCAGCCCCGTCCAGTGACCCTGGTTCACGCTTTCCTTGTGACTGGGGACTTCCTGTCATTTCCTCCTCAGAATCACTTCTGGGAATAACTCAAGATTGCCAGCAGAGACATCCTGAGACTGGTTACCATTAGGTTATGTGTTTTGTTGATCTTTACCTGACAGCGCTCTGGGCTGGCACACGTAAGAAATGGATGGTGTTTGCTGGGCAAGCCGTAAGGTATTTGATTCTCCTGTATTGGGAAGCACATTTACAGGTATTTTCATAAGGCTTTGTACACATCATATTTGAAAATGCTGACTGCCGTTGGAAGGAGTACTGCTCCTCACTTGAGGGCTTGTTTGTTTAACTGAGTTTGTAAATACATTTTTATTTCTAAGCTACATTCTCAATAAAATTTATTTTTTCAGACATACCCACTGTGTATATCAAAGTATATTCTTAAGCATTTTGTACCTAGTCTTGTTTTATACTTGTTAACCTGAACGCAACTTTTGGATAATATTGTAACATTGCTTTTAATATTTTAAATAAACGTTTATTTTTTGCTTCCTTTGCCTGGTGAATTCATTCTGTTGGGGCTCATGGAGTTGTAGTCTTAATTGTCCCTATAGTGTTCTTCCAAGCACTTTGGATGCTAGTTTGTTGGTTATGAATTTCTATAGGTATTTTTTGTCATATAAGAAAATGTTTATTCCAGCCAGGGATTTAGCTCAGTGTGGCTGCCTGCCTCAAAAACAAAAGGTCCTGGGTTCAATCCCTGGTACTGAAAAAACAAAAGAAAAAGACAAACACATAAGAAAATGATTTTTCAATATTGAAAAGTAGGGGCCGGGTGTGGTGGCGCACGCCTGTAATCCCAGCACTTGGGAGGCTGAGGCAGGAGAATCGCTGTAAGTTCAAGACCAGCCTGGGCTACACAGAGTTCCAGGTCAGTCTCAACTACGTAGTAAGACCCTGTCTCAAAAAAAAAAAAGAACTGAAAAGTAGTTTTGCAGTGTACATCAATCTGGGTTGAAGGTTGTTTTCTTTTGGGGCTTGAAATACTTCAAGCTTTCCTTGACTTGAAGGTTTCTGTTGAAAAGTCTGCTGATTCTGAGGCACTTTCCTTTACAGATGATTTGTTTCTTTTCTCTAACAGCTTTTAATACTCTGTTCTTGTGTTAAATTTCGAGAATCTTGACTATTACATGTCTTCATCTACTTTTCATTGTATTTTTGGCTAACAAATTCTACCTGCCTCACTCATCTATGTCAAAATTCTTTTTCCCTGTTTGGGAAGGTTTCTGCTATTCTGTGGGAGGTGTTTTATGTCATTTGCACTATTTCATTGAGTCCAATCAATCTTATTCATCTTTCCATGATCTATTATCTGTTTGATTTTTTTTTTTTTTTTGGTGGTCCCTTGCTATTTTTAAGAGATCTTTCCTTATCTTGATCGCTAACTGCAATCCTATCTGCTGTCCTGTCCTCACTTTGATAGGGAAAACTTTAATAGCAAAAACTTAGGAAATGTTACAGTATGAGATAACTTCTGCCCCTCACTCTGCTGATTCAGAATTAACCGGTACTGGAGTCACATAGTCTCCCCCAAAAGTTTTGTTAAGTGAAAAGAACCATTGTTAGCTTTGTTGACCCAACAAGCTCCCTTCCCCCTGGCTAGAGTAGGTAACTGAATAAATCTTAAAGGTAACTTCCCTGACAACTGCACCCGGGTTGAAATTCAACTGCCTTGCTATTACATTTTGGGTATCAGCAATGTGACCAACTGATTTGAGATCAAGGCTGTAAAACCTTATAAAAGAAGGAGTTGTAACCCTATAGGGGAGTTGATCAGGGCACCACCATTAGGTGTCATTGATCCCCATTGATGGAGTAAACTTTATTTTACTTCCATTCTCCTGCTTCTCTGGGTGTCACCTGCCAATTCCTCTGTAACAACTTTGGCTCATTGTGTATATACTTTCAATGGAATATTTATTTATTTTGGTTTTTTGAGACAGGGTCTCACTATGTAGTTGAGACTGACCTGGAACTCACTATGTAGCTCAGGCTAGTCTGGAACTCCGCAATCCTCCTGCCTCAGCCTCCCGAGTGCTGGGATTACAGGCGTGCCCCAGCACGCCCTGTGGAATTTTTAATCTGGATCACGGATTCCATTTGCCATTTTTGGCATTCACAGTTTCCCTCATTTTCCTAAACTCCTCAATTTTTTTATTTGTACCTGCTCCAGAGTCACTAACCCAAGTCTCTGGTTTGGTTATAATCTTTATACTTACCTGAGAAATTTCTGATTTGATTTTTTTCTATAGCCTCATTCATCTGCCGTGTTACTTCTGCTGTTACCGCTCCAGAGCATCCAGGTGGGTAGTTTTCACATTGTTCCACCCCATCCCTCCCTGGGTTTGCCTTTGGTGAGTTGGGAGTTTGGAGTTGGATCTCGTGCATCTTTTTTGTTTTTCTTTGTTTTGTTTTGTTTTTGGTTTTGTGGGGGTATTTTTTGTTTTATTTTGGTTTTTTTTTTTTTTGCTACTGGGGATTGAACTCAGGGCTTGCAAGGCAGGCCACCGAACTGCTGAGCTAAATCCCCGGCTCATTGTTTTTGGTTCTTTGAGACAGGGTCTCGCTGTAGTTGAGACTGACCTGGATCTCACTATGCAGCCCAGGCTGGTCTCAAACTCACAGCGATCCTCCTGCCTCAGCCTCCCAAGTGCTGGGATTACAGGCGTGCGCCACCATGCCCGGCAATGTACATCTTTATTTTTGTTTTGGGTTTTTTTGTTATTGTTCATGGGTTAATGTGTGTGTAAATTGTGTATGGCAAGTAGCTTTGTTGCTAATATTTAGAACCCTTAGGAAATAACTACATGGAATGTCTTCTGTATGTATCTGGCTTTTGGGTTTTGAGTCTGTTGGAAGATTCTGCCTCTTCAATTTATTAGGGGTGAAAAGTTGCTGCCTATGTGACCCATCCCGGGTTTCTTTGGCACTGATCTAGTCTTGATTTTGACCCTCAGGCAATCTCAGTCTTAGAGCTCCAGGAAGCACAACTGATTAGAACAGTTGCCTATAGTAGTACAAGCAGCAATAATGATAGTAACCAAAACAAGATACAAAATGACAAACTGTGTTAACTATTAATTTACCACCTTTAACTTTATGAATTGTACTTATATAACAAAATTAAAAACAAACCAGAGGGCTGGGGATTTAGCTCAGTGGTTCCCGCTCCTGCCTTGCAAGTGCAAGGACCCGAGTTCATCCCTGGTACCACAAATAAATAAACCAGAAAATTGTATACAATAAATATGCCCTCAGTGTGGCAATTTTACCCTTAAGGTAGAAAATTTAAATGGGGTTAGGAGGCAAACAAAAATATAATAGGAAGAGATTTTTATTTTATTTATTTTTTTGGTACCAGTGATCGAACTTGGGTCGTTGTGCTTTTGAGGCAGGAGCTGGAACCACTAAGCCAAAGCCTTGGCCCAAACAGGAAGAGATATAAAAGCAAGGCTGAAGGACAGAAGGAAGATTATGCAACCTGGAGAACTGGAGAAGAAAGGGAAAGAGAAGGAAGAAATAAAAAAGCAGAACAACAAAAACTAGAGCAAACAAGGAAAACCAAAACAAGAAAAGTGTGAAGTTCATGGTGAGTAGTGAAGTTCTGCTGTCACTGGTAGACAGAGTGGGAACACAGCCTACATCTGAGTTGATGAACCCCAGGAAGCCAGCTATAGATTTACAGTGGGGTAGTAGATAACCCCAGCACACCTGAACCTTTCGAAGTTTAGGCTGGTTTCTGGCTGTGAGGCTGGAACCCAATTTGTTAAGCCTGCAACACTCCATGTGCTTTCTCCCACCTTGAACTCTATTCTGCCTCTCCCTGATCAAAGCTAACCCACAGCTGCTCAGTTCCAAGCTTCATTAGGCCTCTCTCCAAGGTGGCTACTGGCCAGGTGTCCTCTCCAGGGTGTGTGTGGGTGTCTGAATTTAACCTTCCACTGCATTTCATTGCTCCCTTCAACCGGTGTCTGTCTTGTCTTCGGAGGCCTCTGTAGTTGCCAGTAGTCACTGTGCTTCTGCACTTTGAGTCACCCCTCCTACGAAATGAGTCAAGGCTTAAGGAGAAAGTGCTGCTTGCCATTGTTGGGGTCTCCTTCTTGAGGAGGGGTCTTGGCGAGAAGACTGTGGACACAATGAAAATGACCAAAAGCTGATAGCTAGTGGTAAACTTTATTCTCTCTCCCAGGGCTTTTATAGGAGCCATCTGGGGCATACAGGAAAGCATAGACATTGTGGTTTATTCACAAAGAACACAAGGAAGCACGAGCAACTACACATTGTTCAGAGTTAATACAAAACATCTCGATAAAGCAGCATGTGCGCTATGATCACAAGGGAGTGTTTTCTAAAGATAGAACAAGGAAGGAACCTGGGGGATGTTTACTTAGAAGAGGAACTTGGGCTCCCACCCCCTCCCACCTTCCTTCATCTCCCAGCATCACACCCAGCTCTTAAGCCTATCAGTGGACAAATCCAGTGTTGCACTCCCATGATTCATTGGCTCCCAGATTCCCACCTGTGAGTGTGTGAGGCTCTGAGGGGACATCCAGATAGAAGCCATTTCACTAACTGGATGTGGTGGTGCACACCTGTAATCCCAGCACTGAGGAGACAAGAGGATGCCTGGGAATTCTGGGCCAACCTGGGCTAATTAATGAGCTGGAGGCCAGCCTGAACTACATAGCAAGATCTTGTTTCAAAAAACAAAACAAAATCCGCTGCCTCACAAGCAGAAGGTCCTGAGTTCGATCCCCAATACCCTCCCCCAAAAGAAGCCATCATACCATCCTGATTGAGTTCCCAGGGGCCTTCTGTCATTGCAACAGCACAGATTTTTTTTGGGGGGGGGGTACCAGGGCAGATTTTTGTTCCTGTCTTTTTCTTTGCACACCAGACCTATTCTTTGTAAAATGATAAAGGCTGCCATCACAGACATGAGGGATCCTGACAGCCATCTTGAGTGTGTCCAGTTTGGTCTTCAAAGGACTAATTGTTATTTGTTGCAGAGTTTTTACATGAAGTTGCATTGTCATGGACTTGGCTGTCTTGTGATGAGTGTTTTTCATTTGTATTCTTTGCCAGACTGTGGTTACGGTGGAGCGTTACTAGTGTGGGATGGGTTTTAATGACCTCTCCCAGGTTTCTTTCCAGTGATACTCTGTTAGGCACATTCTGGTGTCTGCTTCTGTTGATTTCCACTTGCGGATAATGTACAGGTGTTTTGTTTTGTTTTTTGTTTGTTTGAGTCAAGGTCTGACTGTAGTCCAGACTGGTCGCAGACTTACAGTGAGAGATCCTTCTGCCTCAGCCTCAGCCACCCAAGTGCTGGGATTGCAGATGTGTATCACCATACCTATCTTAGTTACTTTTCTGATTCCTGAGGCAAAATACTCAAAGTTAAAGGAGGAATAGTTTATTTGGCTCACAGTTTGTAGAGGTTTCAGTCC